ACAAGGCCAGCTGATAAATCTACTCCTTCATACTCCCTAACCCACAGGTCAGTTCGAAGGCATCCATCACAGTTCGTGTGTTGGGCACCCAATCATCCATAGGACAGCACAGCAGGTGGGTCCTAGAGAGCTGTGATGAAGGCCCTAGCCCAGCCCTCATTACCAAAGGCCATCATCCTGGGTGCAGAACCGCTGTAAAGATGAACATGGCTCCAGGTACCCTTCTGCTTTCTGTTTTTGTTTTCAGCCATGGGAAGGCCTTTGCCACGTGCCAGTATGGACCATGCTCTTGGATGCCTCACTCTCAGAAACTGGTAAAGAAATACCTGTGGCTTCTGAATTATCCAGTCTGTGTTCTTCTGGCTGATATAGATGGGGGCCTGGCGAACACATCCTTTCCCCTCCAAACTTTGAACATATGGTGTTGAGCCTCTGTTAGTTAATAACTCTCTTGATACCTTCCTCTATTGAAAGGTCTTATAGATACCAGAATTTCACAATGTAAAGAGGCGTCTGCATTCCAGAAAGTCCCATGTGTGTTCCACTCATTTGCTCTTAGCCGACGTGCAAGGATTGCAGTTCAATCTGCCCCAAAACTTCTGGGTTTAACCTGGAATTGTTAGTACTCTGCTCTTCATGAATGAATTTGCTTTGATGCCTGGCTTCCTACATCAAAGGGAACAGAATCTAATTTCAAGGTGAAGGGAAGAGGAAAGCGATGGGCGGTCCTCTACAGCAAAACAGCACAAAGCAAGTGGTTTGATCTCAGGAAACAACCATTTGGAGAGAAGTTAACTCCGTGTTTTAAATCATCATTTCTCACACCGTCTCCTTCCCCTTTCCATCCCTATTTCTGTGGCTCTCCTACCTCACTCCACAGCCCTTCCCCTGTCCATAAAGAAACAGAGACTCAGTAGTACTGCCCCTCCATCCATCATGGTCATCAAGAGAAGAATGCCTGGTGTCACTATGCACAGCTTTCTGCTCTACTATTACCCTTTTCTTTATGAGTTGTGTCTTGACTGCCATCTGGGTGACCCTGGGTTGCATAGGCATCCTTCTGGGACAATCAGCTCCGACAGCAGGGTTGTATCTGACTGGTCACTGGATCAAAATCCCTCATCCTTCTGGAGAGAGTATGTGACACAAAGCCTTGGAGACAGATGATTTTATTGAGAAATGTAAATGCTGATCACCAATTAAGCGAATGATTCAGTCACCAAATTGATTTGTTTATGTGTTAAGTTTGAGTTGAACAATGATTATTTGGTCTTTACCACAATATTTTAAGGGGTTAATTGGCCCTAATTTTCTACACCAACTGGAAACTGAAGGATTAAGAGAAATGGAATCTGAGGGCACATAACATGAATAGACTTTTGAAAAAGGATTTCTTCTTAATATATTATTCATTAATAAATGTATTCATAGGAAGGATAAATTTATAAGGATGCTGAATATTCAAGAATCTATTAACAAACATGTTCTTCATGCATATATTTATAAGAAAAGAGGCTTTAAAAAGAATAAATTTATAAGAGTATATTCTCATAGAACATATTCTCAAATATTAAGAATACATTCACAGGAACATTTCACATGCAAAATAATAGTTGCCAATGCCCTCTAGGAGTTGCATCAACAAATGAAGAATTTCCTAAGAGGATATGGAACAAAAATGTCAAGTGAATGAATGTGAAAAATTGGTTATTGGATGGAAGGTTAAGATAGAGTTTGAGATCAAGCAAATATTTCAAGGTGCAGGACCCCACTCAACCCAGGCCTTTCTCCTCAGTCCAAGTATCCTTACCGAACTTTAATGACCTTACCTCTGACTCAGAGGATTGGGGAAACTCTAGACAAAGCTGAGTTGTCTTTAAATCCCAGCAAGTTTGAAAGTCATCGTTTGGCAAGAAAGAGATAGCATTACTTGGAAGCCCATGGTATCATGGAGTCCATCTCTGGGGCTGCCATTCTGGGAGAGTCTTTTGATGTGTGGGCTATATGAGGTCAGGTAACTGATCTGTGGGTTATATAACATCAGGTGACTAATCCAAGAGGGGAGGTGTGTAGAAATTGTTAAGGATAGGCGTATTTTTGAGTGTGCTAGTGTTGTTGTAAGTGAGAAATTTATTTTCCAAAAGTTATCTGAAATTACAGCCACACTGAGAAGCCCATGTGAGAAGACCTGAGCTCCTTTAGGGTTCTTTCTAATGATCTCATTTCTAGCATCACGATGTGGACTTGTGCTGTGTTGTATGAATGGTCCTGTGTGGGGAACTCTGATAACATAGAAGCTTCTATTTCTTGGAGTACTGTTGACAACGTTACTGTTTTCTTGTTGTCTCAAAGGCAGATAATAGGTGAGAATTGGGAGGAGAGACTATATATAAGTGGTAGCCCTCACACCTGTGGTTTTCTGGATACTGTGTCACACATCACACCATGTTGGGAATCCTCTTGGATTCAGACCATTCTGGAGAGTACAGGCAGGTGTGTGTGGATGGAGGAAAAGATGCCTTGGATGGAAGGAACTTACAGTCTTCTCTAGTAAGTTTATTCCACTGCCAACGTAAAGAAATAGTTGTCATTTTGCAGACATCCATTCCACTTTTAAATACCAACATCTTATACACGTAAGATGTTCCTGACCCTTACACACATGCACACGTTCTCCAAACCAAAATGAAATTCAGATTACCCATGTAGGCACTATTTCCCACTTTGCAGAGTGTTACATCCATCTAGGTGGTTAGAAAGCTGGGATATAAGTTTGATTGTCTTGCCTCATTCATTAACACAGCATGTAGCTGTATGTGCACTTGAAGCCAGACGTTACCTTCAACACAGGGAGTCAGTAACGACCATGACTGTCCTAGGCTGTCCACACCTCTTCTAAAGAGACTGGAAGAGTTCAACATGTAGGAATACCACTGAAGAATGCCGTATACTGGAAAAGGACCTGCTATTGCTGTGGCACACCTGCAGCGAAGGTATCAAGGAAAACTACTGAGGTGCTAAGCTCAGCTGTGAAAACGTACAGTGGTGGAGAGTGCCCACCAATAAGAGCACGGGGGACTTTGGAGAAAGGAGTCCAGTCTACATCTAGCACGACGTAGCAAAGAGACATCAAATCTAGCAAGAGGCATCAAAGAGAAAGGACAGAGGGTGTGAACGAGGCTGGATTACTGAGTACCTGTAGAACACGGGGCCTACGGGGAATCGCATGTGGAGAATTGACTGTACCTCTCCTTATACCCCAGCGGTGGTGTGCTGGTAGAATTTACACCACAGAACTAGGCATACTCAGCTGAAGTACCTTTACTTGAAGGCTTGGTTAATTACTTTAACAGTGGCATTTTTTTTTCAGGTAGAGAGATATGCAGAGATTGGGGAATCTATCTATCCCTGATCACACTGTCTTCCAGAAACAAATAGTTCAACCCCAATTCTGTTTATGGCATCTGTTCTATTCTGGGCATTACTGATTGTTCTGTAGGATCTGAGCCCCAAGTCTCAGGTCTTTTATAAAATGAGCAATTATAAGGTCTGTATTAATTAAAAAGCTTACAACTTAGTCTCCACACACTATTAATATCTTAACTGTTTCCCTAAAGAACATAGCAGTCAAAACCAGCAAGTTTCTCTGCTGGGCAATGCATGCAACTACTTCTGTTTATTCACAGTTGAGAAAAAACAGACCCCAGACTATAGGCACTGGCTATGACCACACATCCAGTAAGACAGGGAGAGGCTGTTTTTCACATGTCTACTAACATTTAAAATATATTAAAACTTTAACAGGCGAAGCAGGAATTTTTATTGCATGTGGACATGTACAAAAGAAGAGAGAAACAAAACGTCCCAGAAACAAATTTATATCACCTGATAGTATGTTAAATTTACGTTTAGTTAAGCGTTTAAAGAACACAGTATATATGCTTTCGAGTTTCGTTCCTAAAGTTAGAGAAATTCGCTAAGCAGCGTCAGCTTTGTTAAACTCGGAACATTGCTAATGTATTCATAATAATGTATTAATGCTCCCTTCTCATGCCTTCCCTTTCATTCCCGTCCCTAAAGGTAGTTGTAGTTGTTGCTATGAAAAAAAAAAAAAGAGAGCAGAAACAGTTGTAGACTTGGGGTTGTCGTTTTTCATAATTATGAAGCGGTCTGTTCACAACTCCAATCTCAGACACACTCAATTCTCAAATATGACCGAGGTCTATCAGATGAGGGAGTAGTTCATTCTCAAGTTTGTTTCATCAGAGTGGTAACAGGAGGGATCACACACAGCTAGGTCTTTCGCCGATGCCACTGTTAAGACAAACCCCCGAGTCTGCCCTGATGGCAGATCCTCATGAATGTTTCATCTGCTCCCTGAAGTGCCCAGCGACTCTTCTGCTACTTCTAGGCACAGCCCTTGGAGTAGGCTTCAGGACACCTAGGCACCGTAACCAAGGCATGTTGAAAGGAATAAAAATGCAGATTATGGAAACAATTAGCACTTTTTAAAGGGATGCACACTTTCCTGAGTTAGGGGCGCGGGAACCCCGTGAGTCTTCTTGAATGCACTAGGCTCTCATCTCTTGGACTCACGGCACCCGGATGATAGATGTGAGCTGTGCTCAGATGTGTTTCTGGTGAACACATTAATGATGCATTAATGAATTGATTTTCTGATGTTTTACCACTCGAGACACTTAATGCTTGCAGAATGGAAAGTGGCTTATTATTTTAATTTTTTATAGAGGGTAGAGGAGAGACATATGGACAGTTTCTTCAGTCTGTTTGTTGCAGTAAAGTTACCACCAAATCCCACACTTGGACCTAACTGTCTGAGTCACTGGCTTTTAATCATTTTTCAAAGTTCACTGACACCTAAACCAGACTCTTTAAAGGGTCCAGGTATGCCCATGGGGCTATTAAATTCAAATGGGTGGCTGACAATCTTGTTTCCAACAGCACAAGCCCCCAGTACCGGTGGGTATGGAGGAGCACGTTTATCTCCTGGGTTCTTGGCCCATGGCGACATCATCTTCAGTAATGTCCTGGGAGTTCCTGAACATCAGGATAGAATTGTAAATCTTCAGGGCTGGACCCAGCTTGATTTTCATCACTTTGACGATGTCTGCCTGGGTCAGAAGCAAGAAGGCTTTGCCGTCTATCTGCTGCAAATAAATAAACAATCGCAAACACAATTACTCCACACTGGAGCCTCTTTATCTACCAGTAACAGTTCCTGGGTACAGGGTGTGGCATTGAATCCGTATGCCCCGTCCCCCCACATTTGACTCAAGTCAGGTCAACTTCATTGTGCTCATAGAATAAAGGAGCCAAATTAAATTAGACGGTTCCCATGTTGTTAAATATAAACTCAACACATTAATTTACCCAAGCACAGATTTCCATTGTTATGTTTCAACAATTTTGGCTCTGAATGTTCCAAGAGCTTTAAAAGGACCACCAAGTAAATCTCCAGAGTGCAAGGCCACATCATGTGTAGGCTCTGTCTGGTGTTACTATAGTTATGGGGCACTGGGAACAACCTTATGTTGCAACAGCAGAGGGAAATTGTAGTCTAGCTGCAGGGTTGGTTATTACACAACACAATCCCCCAAAACACGTTTCAATGAAGCATTCCATCATCTGGGAAACTTCACAAACCATTAAGCAGTAATATGCATCATGACAACAGAGATCTCCTAGTTTTTAAAAATAAGTCTGTGTGAGCACAAGTTTGAAATATCAGAAACCTTGTGTTATCATATGGCTCAGAATGTAGAGGCAGTTGCTGCTAAGTCCGATGACCTGAGTTTAATCTCTGGAATCCATGGTGGAGGGTTCTGACAGAATTGACGCCCAACATTGTCTTCTGACATGTATGCTGCAGCACGTGTCCACACTGACACACATACACACCATACACACATAGTGATACTAAAACATTAGAAACCTTTACCCTCAATCTCAAAAGAAGTTATCTTTGGCTATCACAACAATGTCCGGTCTTAATTTTACCCCTTTAGATTTCCAATAATTTCAAGTTTCCTTTCTGTAAAAAGAAATGCTAAACCGAAAAAAATGCCATAACCGTTTCATTTATTAACTTTTAGGCACATTTAAAAACAATGTTGGAATGACTGTTGGCTCCAGTCCAAACTGTGGAGTGATGGATGGATTAATGACATTCATTGTGGCAATCATATGCATATGGTGCTTGTATACATGCATATCAAATCACCAAACTCAATCCTCATGATAGTTAATTGTTTTTTTTTTTTTTTTAAGTTAGGAAAGCATGTGGCTACATGATATGTGACAGCTTTCTTGAGGCATGTGATAATGAAAAGTCATCGTGCAGACTGCTGGTCTACCTTCTTGGAGGTCTAGGGACCTCAGAGCTTGAGTCTGTGGACTGCATGGGGGTCCTGTCTCTACATGATATACCGTCTCATGTAGTTGGTGAGGTCAGCTGACTCTTGGCTGCAGAACCAGCAACATAGATGAAAGGGTTTTCTATGGCAATCCTTTTGCGAACCAGTACCACTCATGCAAACCTGCTCAACTCAGCTCTGACAGCCTCTTACAGTCAACGGCTCCATGGCGGAGGTGACCCCTGTGAAGTAATGGTGAAGTACCTGGGGTTCTTCGGTAGGCTCTTGAACACTTATAAAAGCTCAAAAATCTTTGGATACCTCTAAGGATTATTGTCTGATGAAGACACAGCCACTTAGAGAATAAAATGCTTCTGTGGGGACACAATTCTTATTCTCTGAGGCAGGAGTGAGGCATGACACCTCTTTCCCTCCCGTGACTTGGGTTTGGCACCAGCATTTTCAGGCAAAAGCCAGTGACCAAATTCACAGTTGTCATAAGAACAAGACAGTGATGATGGGGAAGACAACAGGGACACACACGGAGATGCAGGAACCTATAATCTACTATATGTGTAGATTATATAATCTACTATATGTGATTCGCTCTGCTGATGACAACGTAAGGTAGATGAGTAAACATGGCATTCAGGAACAAAGATGTCCCCAGTGTCGCATAGCTTCTCAGAAGCAAATCTGGGGTCCCAGGCAGTGCCTAGTGGACCCCAGAGGAGATGCTCTGCCCTATATTGCTGTCCTAGCTGGTGCACTTTGAAGGTCCCATCCCATAAGTCTGTGTGTAGATGGGGAGGAGCAAGAGGGTTTCAGCGATTTGCCTGGAGAGTTCTGAACATATCAAGCTCAAACTCTCCGAGCAAGGGATTTACATTGATCGCACAAATAGCCTCGCAGACAAACTAGGTCTTCGGCATTGCTAAACGAAGGGAGTGGGCTATGTGCAAGCCTGAGTTAGGGGCTCCCAAGTTGTGTTGCACCCCAGTGGAACCACAAAAACATTGAGCTTTGTTGGATGCTACCAAAAGCTGCAGGACTCCGAGGGCCTCAGGACAGAGGACTTCAAGAAGACACCCCTCAAATCTTGTGTGTTCCGAACTCAAAGGGCAGACAGGGATGCCATGCTGTGAACATTCCCTAGGATGCAAGTTTCCTGAAGCACCTGGAGGCCAACAGTGGAAGCTGCAGAACCATCTGCGAGGAGAGCCTAGGACACTGCCCCTTTCCCTCTGCACCCGCAGAATCTTCTGAGAGCCTAGGACACTGTATCTTGCCCTCTGCGCCTGGCCTTCCTGAGGATGGCCTCGAAGGTAACCCTCCTTTACAGACAGTGTTCTGAGGACAAAGCACCTCTGTGAGAAGATCTGCACAGTGCAGGTTCGGAGCAGTCATGTGATAGATACCTACCATCATTGTTTTACCATCTACAGTAGACTTGGTATTTTCTGTAGCCCCTGGGACCATGGATTCTAGCTTTTGAAAAATGCTAAGCATACTGATTTCCAAAGTACAGCCACTTTGGAAATCAGTATGGTAGTTTCTCAGAAAATTGGGAATCAGTCCGCCTCAAGACACAGCAGTACCAACCTGGGCATATACCCAAAAGATGTACAATCATACCACAGGGACATTTGCTCAGATATATTCATAGCAGCATTGTTGGTAACAGCCAGAACCTAGAAACAACCTACAAGCCCCTCAACTGGGCCGAGAAGTACAGAAATACATCTAATTTTTCCATTTATTACCTCGTTCTTGAAGCACTTGGCATGTTCTTCACAGCCCAGAAGAGATTGTACAAACTCAGCCACCTACAACACAGGATGAGAAGCTGAATTTTAAAACATGCACCTGAAATAATTCAACGGCTGGAGTAACTCAAGGTGTGAACAAAATATATTTCAAGTCCCAGCACTTGAAATTTAAATAGTAACCATAAAATCACGTTGCCATTTTGTTTTAGCTCATTGGGTGTGTCCTACCCCGAGTGTCTTCTCTATCCATTTGTCACCAGGCTGGCCTACACTGGGTGTGTTAATACGGGGACAGCGATGAGCTACATGGGGCTCTGGCACTGGAAAGACTTCTGATAAGTGTTTTCCCAGATCATGTGGGGCTGGTGGCCTTGGAGAGTGGTTATCATGGGGCCATCGGGGTGGTAGGAACACCTTGCTTTCAGGTGCTCCTAAAGAGCAAGTTCCTCCTTTAGAAATCACTGGGGCTCTAGCACACCTTACCTAGTACCTGGAAACCATGGAAACGCCATAAGTCCTGCTGAACTAGATTCCCACATAAATGATAGTAAAAGCCTAGAGAGGCTTAACAAATTAATAGTCCTACTTGGCCAATTAGCAGCAGAGAATTTGGGACTCTGGCTGCCTTTTCCCAAATCCTGAGTTCTGGAAATATCTTTTCAACTTGACTCCCCTCTTACCCGATGACTCATTTCCCTCTATACACACACACATACACACACACACATACACACACAAACACACACACACACACAAACACATACAGACACAGAACATAGAAACATACAAGTACATACACAGGCAAGCATGAACGCACACACACACACACACACACACACACACACACACACACCCTGACACACAGTCCAATTTCCTTGTAGTGAAGGGCCTTGGAGACCTGACTTATGGTACAGAAAGCCACCGAGTGTCCCCAGCAGACACTGTCTGTTGGATGTGATGATGGCATGCAGGCTCTGGGTAAGTGGCTGTTGATGATGACTCTGGGTGTTTGACAGGACCTAACAGGGCTGCAGCACGGTCTGGCCTCACGTTAGGGTTGGAGTGTGTGGATAGTTGGGGGTTAGGATCTTAGGAATTTGGTTTGTTTTCCCTTGCTATCTCCTGATTTGACTTTGTGGAGAGCTCCTGCCTGTCCGTTCCATGAGAAGGGGACAATCTGGAGACAGTAAACAGCTCAGGTCTTTAGACTAACTGCGCCCACCTTCCTAGAGCCCCGAGAGCACTTAATCCAAGTCTCTCCAGAAATCAGGGGACCCTGCTCACCTCAGGACAGAAATGGACACCAGGAATTGGGATGCCTGCTTTTAGAACTCAGAATAGTGAGGACCATCACCCGGAAGATACGCCTGTGCTCTCCTGGCCACATTTAGTCTGTGGGGGCACTTGGCATGCACTTGGCATCTGCCCTACTCACCCTGGTGTGAAAGGTCTAGCTCAGCAGAGCTAATTTAGGATTTCATCATTCTAAGATGCAAGGGAGTTTGTCAATTTTAGGAAACTTCCCTAAGCAGCCAGCAGGTTGCCATGCACAGACTTCCAGTTGTGGGAGGTCTTCGGTGCCAGTGTGAGCAGAGTCTGCTCAGGGGTCCACTGAATTAACGCCCCGTGCTCCCATAGGGAGTGGAAGCTTGGTCAGTTCGCAGACCCGAGAATGGTGGCTTTTCCTGCATGGATAGGAAGCGTGGAGCATATGTCGGGAATCTACAGGGAGTTGATGAAAGCTCCACAAGGCCACCAATCAGGTCACTGATGGGAAACCAGGGCAGGTGACAGTAGTTGTAGCAGTGACAGTAGCTGAGCCTCCACAGCCCAGAACATTGACAGGTCTGAGTCCTTCCCCAGGCTTACTCTTTTGTCAGAAGATATTCAGCATGACTGTGTTTGAGGGCCTTGTGTTGGGCAGTCCTCTGAACAGGACTGAAGTACTGCTGAGTCTCAGGATCCATTCACAGAGAGAGGGGGAGGAGGGGAATGTCATGTAAGGCACCGCTTGCCTGGCGCCATACTACACGGTCACACGTGTGACCTTCTGTAGGAGCCAGGCGAAGGCTCTTGGATGGAAACACTGGAGATCAGGGGAACTCAGGGAGAGATCCGGGAGAAAAGGCTCCTTCCATGTGCACAGTATTTATTTCCTGGGATTAAAATTCTTGACAGTCGTGTAGATTCCCAGGAGCCAGTCCAGAAACAGGACGAGTGTGAGCAGTGAGGGTCACCGAAGGCAAATGGGGAAAAGCAGAAGGTGCTGTGGTCTCTGGGGATGGGTTTGTGCTTCTAGCCGCAGGCAGCGGGGGGGGGGGTTGACCTGAAATCCAGGCTCTCAGCCTGGCCACACATCACCCTCTCCTGCAGAGCTTGCAGCCTGACTGAAACATGGGCTCCAGCCACAGAGATTACAAATGAATGGAGCTGGGCCGGGTCCACAAGCACTGGGCATTTATGTTCAGAACTCAGAAAGAATGCTTCTGTGTGGTGAGAGCTGGTACCACAAGGCAAGGGAGAGCAGGAGAGGTGGGCCTTCTGTGCCCGGACTCCTGAGGCCGCCTTCCGGGGCAGGCCATCAGCCACAGCCTAAAGGGAAGCAGGAAGGTCTGCAGATCCGGTGCTGAAGGAGACGGTGCTGAAGGAGACAGTGCAGAAGCCCAATCCCCACAACTAGACAGACCGAGAATGGGGAAAGGAAGCCAAGCCATGCACGGGGTTTCTCAGTCCCACCACCATGGACTCCTTGGGACTGCTTCTCTATATTGTGGGGCATTTGCTCACACCCCCGGCTTCTACCTTCCCTAGCTGTGAAGAGCAATGTTGCTTTCCAGCTGTGACACCCAAAAGGTGTTCCCATAGGCTGTCAAAGGCCCCCTGGGCATAGGTCTGCCGCTGGAGTGACTCTTCCATGGGGAGCACCACTGAATACCCCGGGACTCTCCTGACAAGCTGCAGCAGTTGGTCAAGGACATGATCTTCCTCCTTGTGCCAAGAGCTGCTCACGTCAGGATGGTGGGGAGTTGCTCTTATCGCTTACACATGCCACGGAGCCCCCTCCTCCAGCCTTACAAGGACTCCCTATTCATAGTTGGCCAAGAGCTCCCCACCAACTGCAAAGGTAACCAGGGTTCTGATAGGAATAAATAACACAGGGCACCAAAGCATGGACAGAACAGAGCGTGCGCTGCCGAGGGCGACAGCATTTATTCCAGTGCCATTGTCGCATTCCCTTGGGGCCTGGGCTCCCCACCTTAGCTCTCTGTATACAGCAGGGCATCTCTGCCTTCTCGGCATCACCACATGCCTCCAGTGCTCTGCTGTTTGGAAAGGTCCCAGGCTTTGTTTTACTTTTCTTCTCAGAGGTAAAGAGCGGTGCCATGAACTCTACTGAGGAAGAAGAAGTTTTTATCCAGATCTTGAAAATATCCCAAAGCCCTGCTCGGTGTTATTACTACTTACTTTCCCTCGAAGTAAGTTGTATTTTGCATTTTGACACACAACTTAACTAATGTAAGATTTATTTCTTACATACCTCGGAGTGATAATACTGATGGGCTTTCTTTCCACTCTGCCTTTCAAAGACCCGTTCTCCTACAAATGTGTCATGAGCTGAGGACAACCACTGACTGTGAGCGAGCTCTCTGAAGGGAGGGACCGCTACAGTTTGCTACCCCCCCTCAAGTGACAGCTAGGAGGTGGGTCTAGCTCTCAAAGTAACAAGCCCCCCCCCCGTTGAAACACTGTGGGGACCCACGGCTGTCTCTGGAGAACACCCATGCTGTAGGAAGCTGTGACGTAGACTCTGGGTACACCCCTGGTTTGGGGGCTGCTCTGTGAGCCTGTACTGTTTGCCATGAGTCTGGGGGTGTCAGAGTGGGTGCAGGAACTGACAGGTATCCATTTCCCGTGCTTTTGGGAGGACGCTGTTCTGTGCCCCGACCCCGGGCTTTGTTTTGGAAGGGCTCCGAGGAAGTTAATAATTGTAGGCATGAGACAGCAGTCTGGGGAGACTAAAGGAGAGCGATGACTCTGCCTGGGTTTCCCCGTCAGCCTTCGACTTCACCCAGCACACGTCCCCCATGACCTACTTTCCCTGGCTTCCTCTCTGGCACTTGGCATGCCTCCCTTCTGCAGTGGGCTGCGTCTTCCTTCTTCCCGAACAGTGGTACCCCTCTCTTGCTGAGCCTGGAGATGTGAACTCGGTCGTGTTGCCTGGAAATCCACCGGGGACTGTGTTTCCATTCTGACTCTCTTGAACAATTTTTTTCCCCCAGCAAAGTTTATCCCCTCCCCCTCACCTTTTTTTTTTTTTTTTTTTTTTTTTTTTTTTAAGGATCCTATTGCAGAAGGCTGCTATGCTTAGCTAGCGCAATGCTGGGTTTTGCAAGAACACTGCCTCCCAGCCTCCCGAGCAAAGCCTGCTTTTGGAGTGTCTGCCATCCTTTATAGTTAATGAACATTTACGAACACTGGGCTGAGAGCAGGATAATCTATATGTAGTACTTGAAGCTGCGTCTCAGAGCGCAAGAGGTAAAAGTACCTACGTGTGAGCCACACGAAACTGAGCCGAGCCTTGGCTCTACTGTGTGTGAGGAGGGCAGGACGGGTCATTCATTCATTCATTCATTCATTCATTCATTCATTCACCACACAGACATTGGCCAAACACTTACTCTGTGTACAAAACTTTACTATATATATATATATATATATATATATATATATATATATATATATATGAATGACATTTTGGTCCTTATCCTTATAAGCTTGTACTCTTATGCAGACTATGTGCCTGGCCCAGAGTGAGAAGCACGCTCCCACAGAAGATAACATAATGTGTCCTCAGACCCACACCTCTAATGTGGCGTTGCAAAGCAATAACATTTGTGACATGTGATACATTGCCATGTGGTTCTTGCCTTTCACTTCATAGTCACTGAATCTACTTCCCAGCATCCCCATGCTTTGCAAACAGTGCTGTGAGAGAGACAGCCATGGCGACGAAGGAGAAAAAGCCAGTTCCCAGCTTTGTGGAGAGGGACAAAGGGCCTGAGCTGGCTCCGTCCGCTTCACGGGCAGCATTTTGTGGAGCAGAGGCCTCCCTCCCAGGCCAGGATAGAGACAAAGGGAATATTCTTTCTCTCCGGCTTCTGCTCTCCGGCTTCTGCTATAGACACCCCATGCTAGATCTCACTGAATGGCACTTAACACAGGGTGCCTGAGTTCATTGCAGCACACCTTGTCCCTGGCGGGGACCCCCCTCTAACATGCCCACTGCTAACAAAGCCCGGGTCAGACCTGGGCCGCCTTTTCAAACAAATCCCCCTCGGTTATCATTCTTGCTGTGTCCGGAGCATCCTCACATCCAGTTGGTATCGGCAGCCCTGTAATGGTACTCACCGAATGCCTCTACTCCCCCCCCCCCGGCAGGTCTCTTCAGAACTGCCTTATTTTCAAAGACAAAGAACGTGCCACAAAACCCACATTTTTTAATCCATCAAAGATCATTCTTGAGGGTCTGTTTCCGTGTTGGGGACAGGGGAGTAAGTCTCAAGTGCATCGTAGCGGATGTCAAAGCTGGGCTTTGGGAGCGATGGGAAGGGCATCTCTAGATAGAAAAGCACAGTCACAGGGCGTCAGAAAGAACCAGGGGCAGGGGCACTTGATACGAGATACCTGGCTTCCCTGTGGCCTTTTCAGTAACCTGAAGGCCCTAATGCGTCCCCCTGCAGTAAGAGGCTGAGAATGCATGTATTCCATGATAGAGAATTCAGGGACTGGAATATGGCCTTAGAAAGGCCATATCCGGTCACCCTGTTGCTACACCAGCCCTTCTTCTGACAGCACCTCCATTCTCCACTCCTTCTAGATGCTTCCTGGGCTTTTAGATCTCACTCGCTATTATCCTAATTAAGTGCTTAGTCCCGAGACTATAAAAGGAACCACACTTGGCCCGCTTAATTCTTCATCTTTTTGTGTCGTCTTGTCTACTTCCCTGTGCATTGAGTTTGATTTTAAAATAACCACCGAAGTCAGATAATTCTCGCCAAAGACTCGGTCCAGAACCCTGACCTTCTGGGGGCTGCTAACCAGCACGGTGGGGCATCTTCTTCTCCTTGGCTTGGCTCTCTGTAGAAAATTATTCCCATTTCCCCATGTCACCCTGCTTAGAAAGTGACTCTGTGCCCAAGAACCAAGTAGACTACAGCTGCCAACTGAGTCATGGCCATCCTACCCAGTCACCTGTGTACACAGCCACTCTTCCCTGTCCTTGGTTAGCTTCCTCTACGTCTACTGTGTGCACAGGGCCTGGGAGTGACTATGTGACCCTAAGAAAGTCATTTAATGTTTGGCCATCTCAATGTCTTCATCTGTCAAATGGGTAAGATAAGACTTTGTGTCTTGCCATCATTATCCTAAATTTTTTATATATATATATATGTACATATATATATATATATATATATATATATATATATATATATATGGCCTTGTGAGAGTCATGAGCTGAGGGTCTACCGATAGGGGAGGAGCCAGTTCATCCCCTCTTCCAAATGGAAGAGAATCAAATGAGTAGATTGGAAGTAGCAAGGAACTGCATGTCAACTGGAACTTCATGTTTGCTCGGTGCCCTATCACTATGATTTCAACACAAACACAGAAGGTGTTAACTCAGTTTGCTTGGTCATTGACGCACTTTGCAGACTGGCACAATTCTCTACGAAGGCACAAACCCAAGTTTTCTTTTAGGAACAAGATCCTGCTGTTTTATTTTCCCCTGCATTCTCTAGCCCATTGACTCAACTCTCTACCACCAAGATTACATGGACCCACCCCTCCACGGAATGGACAAGAGATTAGAATACAAACATAGCACACTGAGGTGCAGCGCCAGCTTCCTCTGCCCGTTACTGGGGGGGGGGACCTGGACAAGCAGAATCCAGGCTATTAGACGAGGTCTCTGGGGAGTAGGGCATGGGGCTTGCTCCAGATTTCCCAACCCTACACAGATGTGGGGCAAGACTCTTAGAAAGAGAAGCTTAACCCACACCAAGGGAACGTGATTGGAAAATGTGCTTGATGAACATTTTGGAGCTAATTTAGTTCCAGATCGAGCTCAAGCCTCGTACTCAGAGAGGACCAGGGTTTTCTGGGTTGAAAGGGCATTATCTGAGGCCAGCCAGCGCCATGATATCTTAATCAATCAAACAGTGTGTTCCCTTAGAAATGAACATGTTAAGTAGGAGGCATTGCTTCAGTACTACGGGAAGTAATGGCGCTTAACTGATCTATGCTGAAAAGCAATGTTGTAAGGCACGACTCTATTATAAACCAATAGCGTAAAATCGCATTTGACTTTTTCCACTGTAAAGCATCTGACCCAATGTTTTAACAATACATCCACTAAAACTCAACTCTAGGTTTACCAGGTAATCTTATAGTATAGAGGATTAAACCATTGCTGAGGGCCCAGCATGTCTGGGCCGGGCAGTGCTTTCCCAGAGAAGAGGGCTCTAAGCACAGGCGCTCATGCATTGCTGTTTCTCTGTTATAGCAGAGCCGTGCATTGGAGGACTGGTTCCTCTGCTCTACTTAGCACGGGGATGGTGACAAGACACAAGGTAAGGCCTGGGTGAGGAAGAGCCGTGACAGCCAGGCAGACAGTGGGCTTTGCCAGCTCTTCAAAGGCATGCCTGACTTCTCGCTCCAATTTGAAGTCTAAACTTCATGGAGGAGATGCACAGTCTGAGACATGCAGGGAACATTTCCCCAGACATCAGAAGATGCCAGCATCAGGCTCCTCACGCCCAGGTCTCCCCGGTAGGGCTCCTCTCACCTGATCCACCGTCCACCCGGCCACTTGGCTTGCTTGGGTGCTGGCCACCCCTGGAAGCATCTTGCAGTGCTGCTCCCAACCAAGCGGGAGGTCTCGGAAAGGGTGGGTGGACATGGCCGCCACGGAGATCCAGGGCTGAAGCACCTGCTGCGCCTGCTCGGCCGGGTACTCTGAAAGAGAGAGCAGTGCAGAGTGAGGTGGACAGGGACGCAGCAGGTTGGGGCGGCTGCCACCTCTTTCGCAGAGAGCCTTCGGTCAGTGTGTGAGATGCACACCCGGTCAGCACCGTTAGAAGGCGTAGCCTGTGCCACTTAACTGCATTAGACCAGGAGGCGTATAAAACGCTCCGTGCGAGGCCCAGGGGTGCCTTGTCATTAACCGAATCCAGATAACTCCATGTGGGCTCTGCTTGAAGGCAGGTGAGGTGCTTGCTGGGCTAGCCCGGGCTCTCGTCTTCTGACAGCAAGGGTCAGCTGAGCCACACAGAGACTGTGAATGGCGAGCAGACAGGCATACTGAGCCATCTGGGATAGGTGTGTACCCAGAGAGCAGCCTCCACCCAGGAACCACTTCCTGCCTCAATAAAGACAGGACAAGCCCAGGTTGACACCTGTATCTCAAAATTCCCGTGCGATGTTGAGTGAAATATAAGAAGGTTCCCACGCTGTAGAGTCCCGGGCAATATGTGATGACCTCAGATGGAGAGATACGGGGCAGGGCACCGAGGGAGAAAAGCCCCAGTCTGGACTTCTCAGTTCAGACATTCTTACGTGATACCTTCTTTATTAAGCAGAAACTCCCCATTCTAAGGCACGAGTGGCGATGGCTGCAGCCTGTCCAAGGCTGGCTGCTCTCGCCACAATGAGACCCCATCAAATCTGTAGACTCTTGAGCTTCACTCATAAATCCTGTCATACTAGTGGGGTCTCCTTTCAGAACGCCAGTCAGGTCTGATAGGGCAGGCATGTAATCCTAGCATGAGGGCATGGATGGGGACAGAGGCAGCTTGTTCGGGGCCAGTTCCTGGCTGGCTTTGTGCTCTCAAGTAAGACTCTCTCTAAAGTGTCCTTACTCATGTGTTCTATTCCAACATTTACGATGGAGCTTGGAGGGGTGTGGGGGTCCTTAGGGGCGAAGGAGAGATAGCAGCTCAGTCAGTAAACTAAAGCAATTATCTCATGCAAACATGAGAACCTGAGTTGGATTTTGAGAGCCCGTGAGAAGAGCTGGGCATGGTGGTATGTGCTTGTAATCCCAGTGCTGGGAAAATGGGGACAGGAGAGTCCTGGGGTTCACTGCTCAGCCAGCCTAGCACAACGAGTGAGCTGCAGGCTCAGAGGTCACATCTCAACGGAGGTAGACAGTATTTGAAGATGACACTTGCGGTTGTTATCTCCATGGACACACACAGGCATACAAACATATACACACACATATGTGCATGCAAACACTAAATGCACCACAGCAGCCTACACATGTACATACACACATGCCCGTGCACCTGCACATACAAGAACAGACACACAGAGACATATGAACACACACATACACACACACATGCACAGACATATGTGCACCCACACATACATGAACAAATGCACATTTAATAATAAAGATGGAGGTCTGGTGACAGTGGCTTGGATCTCCAAACGGATTAAGAGCAAAAACACTAGAAATGTCAGCACCAACCCCTGCCTCTGTAGTGACATTCTTGACATTTCTGGACACATTAGCTGACTATAATCTGCTGAGACCAGATCACAATGGGAATGTTTCACGCTTTCTGAACGCCTCCTTTCCTAAAGCAAGTGGTGGGTTAAACCGGAGTAGTCAGCAACTGAGAGCCTACTAGTGTGGTTTACCCTTACATTTTGTTAAGAATCCGGAAGATTATTATGCAAATATTCCCACCTCTTAATCACAGCTTTTAGTGGGAGAGGCTGACATGTTCTTTACATGGTCAGGCACATCAGGGAGGCTCTAAATGGTGAGTGATCTGTCCATCACGGGGCTTCTCTGCATGGTGTTGCTCTCGTGGATTACAGCAGACATCCTCATATTTACTAATGCTTGCTGTCTGCCCAGATAAAGAGACAGAAAAATTGCAGGCTTCTTCCTAATTCTTATGCTCCAGTTGCCACTGGCGGCAAATTCATCTCTAACTGCTGATTGTCCAAGCTGACCTTTTTAGTATGTAAATAGGTTATCTCTCTACATGTAGTTCAGCCGAAGGTATGTTAGCCTACGGGTTCCAATGAGAGGTGTCTCATCTTCTCGGAAAGGCCAGTGTGTTGACAAATGTGAGTGTTCTTTAATGAAGTTGTTTGGTGGCACGAGAGCATGCATGGAAGAAGGCCCCAAAGTCGGGGAGTTACAGGATAGTGTGTAGTTGTAGTTGCAGTAATACAGACCTCACAGACCTGCTCAGGAGACCAAGAGTTAAAGCTCCATGTCTGGGATTGAGACCAGAAACAAAGACCAAACACTGGCTTTTTTTTTTTTGAGAGTAGAATTAGTTGTCTTGCTGAATAGAATAGACTTAAAAAGAAGCGCAGATGTATCTCAAACATATGTGAATCTCACTACTCATCAATTGAGTTAATCAAATACCATTTCCCATATATATAAGACTCAGAGAAGACACAGTGAATCTTATATTTTGAAGGTACCATTTTTGTGTTTTACAAAATATATATATATGGAAGCCATTAAGAATGGAAACTAATCTGTGTGTTCTTAAGGAAGAATCCTTTTGAACAGGCCAGCTTTGGGAGTGGCTGTGTATTCAAAGGCTTACTCTTGGAAGCACACTCAATGTGTGGCTGTCAGTACCCCAACAGTATCTGGGTTCCTTAGTCCACCAATGGCCTTTGTCAGGTTAGGTATGGGCTCTGGAAGGTGGTGGAGAGTAACTCCCATCAGCTGAAGGGGAAAGATGGCCTTGAGTTAAAAGACAGATGTACCAGCTCTACGGTACGGTTGATGTTGTGTGCTGCCTGTGAATAAATCAGTACACCTGTATCAAACCGATGCACTCATCTGAAGATGAGTGAAATGCTTGTCTCTTGAAATTGAGATGAACAAAATTTAATTTGGAAGCTCATGAAAGCTGTGGGGATAACGTGAGAAGACACAAAAGATGCCGTCAGGGGTAGTAGAGAAAGACCTACAGCAGGCTGTGCGGTGGACAGTCCCTACCCAGAGTCCAGGATTTCCACTGGGGTATGGTTGTGTTTGCTGATTTGCAAACTCAAGTTCCGGGGGTTGCTTGCCAGAGTCAGTTACACGCCCAATGCAACATTTCCCTTCTCTATACTACCAATTGCATTATGAGTTTCTCATTTTATCTTTTCAATGATTCCTATGCAGCCAGATTTTTCATACTTAAAATTAGGTAATAACAGAATTACACCCCTTTGAGCCTCCGTGATTAGACAGGCTCCAGGTGCACGACGAAAACTCATTACATGTCAGCCAGGTATAAGGGCTTTATGGTTGTAATGGTGAATATGGGGACATACAACATTTCCAAAACCAGTTTGGTTAGGTTTTTAATTCTCTGAAGGCTGAAATCCAGACATACTCAGAACCTTGGGTCCTGTGTTTAAATTCCGCATCTATGTGATGCTGGGGATGACACCAATACGGAGAGAGATAGGACAGTAGGTGCTGCCAGGGGAGAATGGGGCATTCGTTCCCCAGGCAAATGGGAATGGATGTGTGGCGACCACCTTGACACTGCTAAAATGCACTCAGCTTAGGGGGTTGGGGATTATGGCACTCTGGACAGACAGACTCTTAAAGCAGGGGTGATTTGCATTCTTTTAAATTATGCATATAAAGTTAAACTTTTGAAAAATCCACTTAAAATTTTCATACATATTCAAGCTGTGAACATACTGATTTTAACTTTCTTTTAAGCCCAATACAGCTCATCTCATAAAATATTGCACCATCTATATCCCACAGGGCTTCCAAGACCACAGGGCACTGTTGGAAACATGAACAGTCATGTTGCATATGCATGATGGCAACTATGCCTGTCATCAATGGGCCATATAGACCACCACGGTCACACAAGAAACAATATCATAGAACTATTGCCTACTATTTTTATTGTGTCTTTTGTATGGTCTGTTAGTAAACAGTTACCATTGCATGTAATATTCTGTACCACTTACATGTATGTATAGCCTAGAGTAAATCAGGTTACACAAAACACAGCTTAGATGTACAGCTATCTCATCTTGGAAAGCATAAGCATACTCTGTGATGGGTACACAACCACCAGATCGCTGACCCATGCAGTTAGCAGAATTTGTCTGTCATTAATTGGCGCATGAATGCGCTGTCCCTGGAAGTCATTCCCCAGCCCCAGTGTAGCTGATCATTCTATCTGGAAGCTCTGTGGTCATTTACCATGAAGACAGCAGGAAGGTTCATTTGCCTGCTTCATCCATGGGATCAGGCATTCCAGCTGTTTCCACGTATCAGGCTGAGATCCAGGCAGCTTCCTGGTTACACTCTCTCACTGAAGCAGCCACTCCTATCCAGCTCCCCGAGAAGTCAGCCTAGGAAATGCTGCCCGCAAAAGCAGCCTCCTGCGGGAGGTCTCCACATCCTAATTAATCAAAGTGTCTCCTACGCCAGAAACTGAACCGCATGTGTGATCCTGGCTTCGCGTAAGTGACAACAATCAAAACTACCTCTGTATTTAGGATACTCTCCCCTGATAGAGAACGCAGGACATAATCTTTGTTGGTTCAGTCATTTGCCATTTGTGGAAAAATTAAACCCCCCCCCAAAAATCTTTTACAGCTTCCCTTTCTTGTTCAAGTTGGCATTTATAATTTTTAAAAAATATATAATAATGTGTTTAATGCATCTGTAAAGAAATTTAAAGAATTGGAACACCCTCAAGGTTCCAAAACCAACCCATTCAGCTCAATATCTCACTCCAGGGTCCAAATTAGCCCTGGACCAGAGTGCTGGAAGACGTGGCTGTGCTGTCTACTCTTCAGGACTATTCAGAGAAGAGCACTGTACTAAAGGATGCTGAGGCTTTACCTGTCCTGTAAAGACAACAGCAGTCACTCTGGAAGAGACCCAGTCTCAGGAAACTCCAGCCATGGGTCGGAGGGACCTTTCTTCCCAAGAGTTAAAGGGAATG